GGAGAAGAACACAAACATTTATTGAGAACTTAATATATACCTGGGATTTAGTCCCTGACAACAATCCTTCAAGGTAGGTATCATTATTTCCATTTTACAGATAAAGAAACTGAGGCTCAGAGAAGTTAGTAACTTACCCAAAGTCACACAATTTCATTCAAGAATACATGTGCATGTGACTGCAAAACCCATGTTCTTTCTTATTTTTTTTTTTCCAAATAGAATTCCAAGGAATTCATTGAACTAAATAATTAAAAATCTCTCCTATGGGTAGTTTTAGTTCTACACATCCAAACCAAATAGATATTATTAAAAAACAAACACCCAAGGAGTTCACCAGAATTTGAAAGAAATTTACTAAAGATTTTCTGCAAGGAAACTACTGAATAACTGTTTTGGAAATTCTTCTGTTTTAATTAATTACGTTTTCTAAAATTCAAAGGGAAAGATGGGAGACAGACACCAGTTTTTAATGGTTTAAAATTAAGATTTACTCATGGAATGATATTCTATGCAAAGTCATTTAAATCTAACCTCTGTCCTTCAGGTATCAGGAAAGAGAGGAGAGTGAATGCAGCAGAAACCTATGGACTCCATAGTTTCAGACTTTAGCCTGGAATGGAGTTTAAAAATATTGTTATTCAAATTCTCATTTCATAAATGGGTAAACTAAAACTCAAATAAGTTAAGTGACAGCTAGAGTTGAGACTGGAACCTGGGTTTCCTGATTCTTAAACCTTGTTCTTTCCATGACATGATGTGGGAATCACTTTACAGTCTATTTCTCTTTTCCCCCACCTCCTTTGACCCAAAGAGGGAAAAAAAAGTGAGAAAGTTTGAAGAAGCATTTACAAAATCAGGGCACTAAGAGTAAAGTTATCCTGGAAAGGGTAACTTCAGAGGCTAGAATTAGCAGAGCACAGGAAAAGATAAGGTCTTATCTAAAGCAATTAGAGTAAGCACGCAACTAAAGGTTTTCGTTCCTTGTATTTAGGGGAATATACTGAAACAGCAAACTTTTTGAAATCCATGGCCAAATCAGAACCTAGAAAGCAAGGACTTCTAACATTCAAGTAAAAGTTCAGTGTGAGACAAAAGGTATTTGCTTAAATTGGTAGGAAAAAAAAAAAAAAAGTGAAACAAAATGTCAGTTGGGGTCCTCTTAGTTCAATTCCAGGGTCTATGGAGTCCAAAACCCACCCTTGGTTTTTGTGAGTTGTTCCAAGGGGCTTTTGTTTACTTTGGCTTCTAGACCTCGGAGATTTTGCTTCCATGTGTAAAATGGGTAGAATTTACTATAGAGATTGAAGTGGGTGTATACATCCCAGCAACAGCAAATATTAAGTTCAATTGGAACAGGTGACATTACCATCTAAAAGTGTCCTGGTCCACGGAGAAGTTTTGCTGGCTCCTCTCCTCTACCTAGGAGCCTAGGTGGTACGAACGGTTAACATGCCAGGCTGCTATCCGAAAGGCTGGCAGCTTGAGTCCACCCAGAGGCACCTCAGAAGAAAGGCCTGGAAATCTACTTCTGAAAAATCAGCTATTGAAAACTCTACGGAGCACAGTTCTACTCTGACACACACAGGGTCAGAGTCAACTCCAAGGCTACTGGTTCTCCCCTACACAATCTCAGCTTTTCTCCATCTTGCTGGATTCTTTCTCCTCCTTATCTCTTCCTTCTCTTTTTCCTCTCCCCCACCCCTCTTCCCTTTCTGGAGCAGAAGCAACAAACTCTTCCTCTAATCTCAAGGAGAGCAGGTTTTCCCCTCTTCTGAAGTTGAGGTGCCTGCTAACATCCATGCCCTCAAGGTCTTATTCCTTCTGAGCAAGCTTATCAAAGTCTTCCCCAAGGAGACAGCTCCCACCTTCCCTAAGAGGAATTATAGGGTCAACTGTGAAGAATTAAAAAAAAAAAAAAAAAAACCATACTTTTCATGTCTTTACACAATATTGAAACTCTTTGAAGTTTAATCAAGATGGTACCCAACTGTCCTGTGGAATTTATATTTTTAAATTGTTCTTTTTTCCTGTATGGAATTTTATTATAACAAATAGTAATAGGGATTTCTTGATATTTATATGATTTTAATAAACAGTGTTCAAAATTAAAAAGTATTAATGATGAGATCTAGGCTTTATTCCCATCGTCTATCAATTGTTCACACCAAAAAGTCTGATTAAATTAAGCAGCTGCAACAAGGGGGCTCTGGTGGTCGCCTCTAGAATTGAAAGCGTAAGAGGAAATGAGGTACCCTTTCAGGGGCTGACTTTGAAAACACAAACCTATTAAATGGCAGAAAATATCACAAGTTCACAGGAATATGTGTAGATTTGGAACTGTTATCTGAGAACACTTCCCTTTTTAGAGAGAACTCTCATATTAAAGGCTCTAAGTAACAACAGACAAAAAGCAAAGGTGGTTTCAGTAGCCTGATAGTCACAGTGCTGGAGAGATGGCTTAAGGTATATTCTTTGTACCTCTTCTACATCACTGTGCTTTTATCTCTTCCAACCCTTTCTGTTTAATAAAGCTTTAACTTCTCCAAGTATCACAGGCCCCCTTTTCCTATTACAGGAGCAAGGAGTGTTAGGTCTCAGGCACCTTCTAATTAGGGCTCTGGTGATATGTCACTTTCATCCTTGCCTTTATGATATGCTCCCCTAAGTTTCACCTGCTCTCCTGTTTTCTCTTGATCCCCCTGAAATCTTCCTAGATGTTGTGTTGTTGTTAGTTGCTGTCGAGTCGATTCCGACTCATGGTGACCCTATATGTGTTACAGAGTAGAACTGCTCTATAGGGTGTTCTTGGCTGTAATCTTAATGGAAGCAGATTGCCAGGCCTTTCTCCCATAGAGCTGCTGGGTGGGTTCAAACCACCAATGTTTAGGTTAGCAGTAGAGTGCAAACCATTTGTGCCACCTAGGGACCTTTAAAAACCAAAAACCAAACCTGCTGCTGTCAAGTTGATTCAGACTCATAACGACCTATAGGACAGAGCAGAACTGCTTCATAGAGTTTCCAAGAAGTGGCAGGTGGATTCGAACTGCTGACATTTTGGTTAGTAGCTGTAACTAGCCATAGCTCTTAACCACTGTGCCACCAGGGCCCCAGGGACCTTTACCTGAAAACCAAACCCGCTGCCATCAAGTTGATTCCGACTCATAGTGACCCTGTAGGACAGAGTAGAACTGCCCCAAAGGTTTCCAAGGAGTGGCTGGTGGATTCGAACTGCCGACCTTTTAGTTAGCAGCCTTAATGCTTAGGCCCCCTAATTTCCTAAATATCCATTTCTTCTTCTCTCAGGCTCCACATTCAAGCATTTCTTAATTTTCATGATCTTCATGTATCACTCAGGAGGTTGCTTATTTCCTCTGAGGTATGTGGCTGACAGTGAGGGCAAACTGCCACCATGTGGACGGGGGCCTTCGCCACACACAGCCTTGTGGCTCAAACAGCCAGGCTTATCATAGGCACTATTACCAGGTCAAAGATCACAACGTGCTTTTGGGGGATTTAATTATGCCTTATGCTCTTTATCAAAACTACTAAACATAAATTGTGATTACAATTAGTATATTTACAAAAACAATATAAGCAGACAGATACAATCAGGTACTTCATTTATTAATAGTTATTCTTTATCATTGCTTAATTTACCCTGGTTTCTGTTTAAGCCTTAATTGGCACAACTTTTTAACTTTTTAATTTATAATGAATATTTCAACTCAAGCCCTGCTAGTATTTGACAGATGGTTAATGTCAAAAGCCCACAGGGCTGGTTTCTGTTCAGCGTTTTTTTTTTTTTTTTTTTAAAGCAGGAGAAATTTTTGACTTTGCCAGTAATTTGTAAGCATACATCATCATCAACTTTTATTGTACTTCAGACTCCCTGTTCTCCCTTGGATTTCTCTTCTACTCTTGGCCTAGCAGGGGTTAGGAAAGCAGACAGAAGCATACCCTAATGGCCTGTGTGATAAGCCTCATAAAGTTATTTTTCTCAATTAATGGTTTCACTGACAATTTCACTGCTTTGCTCTAAGCTTTCTCATTCCTTGTGCATCTGCACAGTCACCTATGATAAGCCTCATCCAGTCCAACAAAACTGGTTGCCCAGAATATAGACTGCTCCGCTTTAAGAAGACCGTATCTCTTCTTTTCAGAACGTTAACACCTGAAAACAATTTAAACAGAAAGCAATAGGGCTTTAAAGCAGAGCTATAAAAGTGATTTATTCATGAGTACATACTTATTCCTCTCCCAACTGACATTTATTTTATATTAATTTTCCTTGAGTACACATCCTCAGTTTTTCCCTAAATTCTTACTACTACTACAAACTCTTTATTCCACTCTTATTCCCTTTTACTTTGCCCCAAAGACTCTCATATATGCTGGAAAGGATCATTAGGGTACTGAATCACAATTTGGGTAACTGTGCTATGAAATGGTAATACTCCCTACTCACAAGTATTGACTTTATTAGGTAGACAATTAGTTATTTTTTAATTAAGTTTTTAAGAATAATTCTTAATTAATTTTTCTGAACTTATTCTAAATGTACCTTTATAGTCATGCTCCACTGGCAGCCAGAAAGCTATCGAAAGCATTACCTTCTTCATAGGCCACTGGAACCTGTACTCTTAGAGATAAGCAATTTTTGGTAGGGACTCTCCCTCCCCAAAGGAATCACTGCAGAAGAAAGAACTAATGATAATTTACTCCCTTTATATTATATATTCATTTATAGTTTCAAAGCAGTTTCATAGACACCATTTCAACCAGTCTTTAAGACAGACAGAGCAAACAGAAGCTAAGAGAGATTAAATAAAAGGTTTCTTTGAGGTCACACAGCTAGTCAGTCAGTATCAAAGACCAAGATTTAAACCACCATTTGATGACTGTGATTAAAAAAACAAATTCAATCTCACAAATAGGATTAGAGATCCAGAGATTTTCATTAACTTTATGGTGGTGAATCTTTTATAAGCAATACTTACTTACCAGTGACTGAGCTTTTCTTAGCTTAGATTTGTCCTGTAATTTATTTTTCTTATCATGTGGCTGTTGGCTGAAATCTGGAGTCATTTCATTTTTTTTCCTCCTTCTGTAAGTTAAAAAGCATTGGAAAAATTATAAATTGCCATTTTTTAAATTTGTATAGTTATTCGTCTGTTTGATTTTGTTGTCCCTGTGATTTAAATGACTGCCTTCACAGCTGGGGCTGGGGCCTAGGGACCATAGTTTTGGGGGACATCTAGGTCAACTGGCATAACATAGTTTATAAAGAAAATGTTCTACATCCCACTTTGGTGAGTGGAGTCAAGAAGTAAAACATTTGAAAAATAAAAGATTGTCTTCACTCAACTAAAAACAACTCAAATGTCTATCAATAGAGAACTGGCTGAATAAACTCTGACATATCAACACAATGAGTACTATAAGCTGTAAAAAGGACTGTAGTATATTTCTACATATGACTCTAGAGTAATCCAGGTATATTGTTATCTGAAAAGAGAAAGGTGGAGAAAGAGTATTGTGTGCTACCATTTATTTCAGGAAAGAGGTAAAAAAAAAAAAAAAAAAATAGAGGTATTTGCTTGTATTTTTTAAAATAGAAGGATTAAACCACAAAATTTTAAAAAATGGTTATCTATAAGTAGGATTTCCATGTGTTCTGATCCAGAACAGGAAATAGTACAGAAAAACAAGGACACAAGCTAGACTTCAAATATATTTTTCTTTGTGTGTATTTGATTTTTTGTATACTTGATTCTATTATTTTCTCAAAATTATAAAATAAAATTGAGAAAAAAATCTCCAAAAAGTAAAATCAAAATGAAATTATCTTGTCTATAGAGTTGGTGGCATTACTACCAAGAGAGAAATTATTTCATGTAACTTCAAAACAATAATTTGTGAGTATTCTTGTAGAATATATCCTAAGAGCAAAAACACAAAGAAATCTTAAACTGTTTTCTGAGTAATTTTATTGTTTGTATTAATATTTGTTTTCTAAAATTATGATACATATTAGGATAAAGCAGGGGTCCGCAAACTATAGCCTATGGACCAAATCTGGCCCACCACCTGTTTTTATAAATAAAGTTTTATGGGAACACAGTCACACTTATTTTTTTCTGCACATTGTCTATGACTACACACTACAACGACAGAGTTGAGTAGTTGTGATGGAGATCATAAGGCCTTCAAAGATGAAAACATTTACTGTCTAGCCCTTCAGTAGACTATGCAAAGGCATTCGACTGTGTGGATCATAACAAATTATGGATTACATTGTGAAGAATGGGAATTCCAGAACACTTAATTGTGCCCATGAGGAACCTGTACATAGATGAAGAGGCAGATGTTCGAATAGAACAAGGGTATACTGCGTGGTTTAAAGTCAGGAAAGCTGAGTGTCAGGGTTGTATCCTTTCACCATACCTATTCAGTCTGTATGCTAAGCAAATAATCTGAGAAGCTGGACTATATGAAGAAGAACGGGGCATCAGGATTGGAGCATCTGCGATATGCAGATGACACAACCTTGCTTGCTGAAAGTGAAGAGGACTTGAAGTAGTTACTGGTGAAGATCAAAGACCACAGCTTTCTGTATGGATTACACCTCAACATAAAGAAAACAAAAATCCTCACAACTGGACCAATAAGCAACATCATGATAAACACAGAAAAGACTGAAGTTGTCAAGGATTTCATTTTACTTGGATCCACAATCAACACTCATGCAAGTAGCAGTCAAGAAATCAAAAGATGCATTGCATTAGGCAAATCTGCTGCAACAGACCTCTTTAAAGTGTTGAAAAGCAAAGATGTCACCTTGAAGACTAAGGTGTGCCTGACCCAAGTCATGGTATTTTCAATTGTATCATATGCATGTGAAAGCTGGACAATGAATAAGGACGACCAAAGAAAAACTGACACCTTTCAATTGTGGTGTTGGTGAAGAATATTGAATATACCATGGAGTGCCAAAAGAAGGAACAAATCTGTCTTGGAAGAAGTACAACCGGAATGCTCCTTGGAAGCAAGGATGGCATGACTACATCTTACTTCATACTCTGGACATGTTATCAGGAGGGATCAGTCCCCGGAGAAAGACATCATGCCTGGTAAAGTGCAGGGTCAGCGAAAAAGAGGAAGACCCTCAACGAGATGGACTGACACAGTGGCTGCAACAACGGACTCAAGCATAACAGTGATTTTGAGCGCAACAGTGTTTTGCCCTGTAGTACACAGGGTCACTTTGAGTCAGAACCGACTAGACGGCACCTAACAACAACAACAGCCCTTTACAGAAAAAGTTTGCCTAAAATAATGGATCTAGGCCATCATCATCAATGATCACTAAAATCATAAAAAGGGAAACAATCACAAATTATGTGCCTCATGATGGAAGTACATAACCCCATCATTATATATTGAAGCCTCTAGATCTGAGTATCAGTATGGCAAATTCATGTTAAACTGCATGTTGGGGGTGCAATCAGCAAAACCCAGAATGTGAGAAACTTTACAGGCTATGTGACCTGATTTCTTCAACAAATAAATTCAAGAAAGAAAGTTAAAAAAAAAAAAAAAAAAGACAAGGATTAAAAAAGACTTAAGTGACACATTGACCAAATGCAGTATGTAGTTCTTATTTAGAACCTGATTAAACAAACCAACTGTTAAAAAAAAAAAAAAATCGAAACACTTATGAGACATTCAAGAAAACCTGAAATTGCCTTGACATTTGATTATATTAAGGAATCATTGTTAATTGTTTTAGATGTGATACGATTTTTAGAAAGAGTTCTTATCTTTCAAGGATATACACTGAAATAATTATGGATGAAATAATATTACATTTGAATTTGTCTCAGAAATAATCCAGGGGAAGGACTAAGTGGGTGAGGGTATAAATAAAACAAGATTGGCCATGAGTTGAAAACTGTTGAAGCTGGATGATGGTTACAAGGGGTTCATTTTACTATTCTCTTGAATTTCCATTATAAAGTTTCATTAAAAAGATTATCTTTGTCCAAATATTTCTTGCTACTTAATTTTCAAAAATTTCTCCTAACTTTTAATTATGAGAAATTTCAAACACACAGAAAAACTGAAAGAATAGTGCAGTGATTACCCAATATACTCTCCATCTAGATTCAACAACTGATAACATTTGACTAGTTTTGCTTTGTCTTTACATACATACAAACGTATACATGTATTTACTTTGTCTCTCTATATTTACACATACATACATATACATCCACATATACTACATACATATGTATATATATATATATATATATTTGCTGTGCCATATGAAACTAAGTTGCAGACATCATGACACTTCATTCTTAAATATTTCAACACACATCTCCTAAGATAAAGACATTCTCCTACTCAGTCATAGTAGCATCATCACACCTTAAAAAATGAAAAGTAATTATTCTTTAATATTATCTAATACCAAGGCCATATTCAAATTTCTGCAATTGTTCCAAGAATGCCTTATATAGTCTTTCTTTTTTTAACCAGAATCTCACCTAGATTTAAACTGTACTGGGTTGTTATGTCTGTTATATCCAGAACATTCTCACCATCTCCTTTTCCCTCCCATGGCTCTAACTCTTTAAAGAGTCCATCACAGTTATCACATAAAAAATCCAGTTGCCACTGAGTTGATTCTGACTTCTGGTGAACCCATGTGTGTCAGAGTCGAACTGTGCTCCATAAGGTTTTCAATGTCTGATTTTTTCAGAATAAGATCTCCAGGCCTTTCTTCTGAGGTGCCTCTGGGTAGACTCGAACTGCCAACATTTCAATTAGCAGCTGAGTGTGTTAACCATCTGTACTACCCAGTGACTCCACAGATTGTACCATATTCTGGTTTTCCTGTTTGTTTCCACATCGTATCATTTACTTGTTCCTTTGTTACTATACTTTTAGAAAACAGGAAGTTAGGTCTCCAGACTTCATTGAATTTAAGTTAAAGAAGGTTGGCAAGATGTGTATTTCATATTGTATCGTATCATGACACTCAACATCAGGTTTTCCCCCAATAGTGACTCTAAGTTTGATCAACTTAACAAGGTGGTGACTGCCAAATCTTTCAACTGTAAAAATGCATTTTTACCTTTGCAATTAGTAAGTAATCTGTGGAATGATACTTTGGCACCCTGAGAACTTCCTTTAAATTCCAATTTAAAATTTTTGACTTCCTCTATGTCAGGTATCCACCCTGCCTTGTCTTTCTAGCTCTAGAGGCAATTGTAATCACCTTCCCATCCTGTATGTGCCTCTGAGAGCAGCTACCTCATTGTCTGATTTGCCTTCCTCATTAATTGCACTTCTGATGGCAGGACACCCTCCAATTTGATTAGGTGGACTTCAGATAACATTTAGTGTTATTTCAGTGCCAGATTCTCCTAAAACAGGCTTTTCCTATGTATCTTCTACTCTAGACTATCCAGCTTGATCAAACATAGTTAGGAAAAATGACCAGCTATCAAGTTAGAATGTGAAGAAGAGTGTCAGCTTATACAAATTTCAAACATACAGAAAAGTTGAAAAAACAGTGCAGTGATTACCCATATACTTTCTATCTAGATTCAATAATTGATAATGTTTTGTTATATTTACATCTTTATATGCTTGCATGAGCATGCATGCGTACATGTGCGTGCGTGCACACACACACACACACAAATTTTTTTGACCTGATCCTTTTAAGAATCCACCCCAACCTCTCAGCTCCCACATACCCTTGGCCCAGTGAAGAAGGTTGTCCGCACATAAAATGAATGCCCTGGTGACAGCTCTACATTCATAAAATGAGCTTCAGTGTTGCTCAATTTCACTTGATCAAACTTTCCTCTATCTGTTGGATTTTCTGTTACCAATCTGACTCACTCTTAGTCTCTCTAGCTTGATTTACCAATTGGTTGCCTTACATTTCCAACTTTGGCTCTGTTCTCTGGATTCTAATCTCTATTATCCTCCTCTGAAATTGTGCCTGATGGACTAATAACTCAGCATTTCTCACACCTGTATTGCTCATTCATACTGGGCTGAAATTATCAAGCACACAAGCATTAG